AATGTCTGAGGTGGATATGCGAAGGACAGCTGAGAGGTGATCATCAGTGATAGAGGATCTGTATCTGTATTTGTTGAACTTCATCACTGAGAATGTCTGTTCACATATGTAGGTAGATCCAAAGAGGACCATCATCTTCTGAGCACGTCTCCTGATGTGTGGAAAGTTCTCCTCTTTCAGGGAAGAGTAAAACTCAGGCAGTGAGACTGACCTGCTCTGACAGAAGTGTGTCAGACTGCAGGTCAATGAGTTCAAGCTGAACATCACTGGGTGCATCATCCACATGGCATGTAAATGGGGAAAAGATCATGTTCATTTCATTCTCAACTGTTTTGAAGTCTTTAAATCGCCTTGAAAACTCACCATGCAGTGCTTCTAACATGGATGAGTACCTCTGGAGGTGATCAGCTGATGGTGTGGCTTCCTTCAGTGTTGGCAAGTGCGTGAGAATGTTGTCCTCCATTTGGCTTGAGAGAAGCTGCAGCTTTCTCATGAAAGCCTTCACTGTACTGTACATGTCATGCACAAAAAGGCCCTTGCCTTGCAGACATTTAGTTCACTCATTAGTGCAGTCACATCTACAGCAAAACCAAGGTCTGCCATCCAGTCTGCATCTGAAAGCTGTGGGATGTCGTTTCCTTTCTTCACACAGAAGTCTTGAATTTCTTCTCTCAGGTCCCATACTCTTTTCAGCACTTTGCCCAGGCTGAGCCACCTGACAGCTGCATGGTAGGGTATGTCACGATGTTCAGTCTCACTTTCCTCCAAAAGTGCAACAAACTGTCTGTGATTCAATGCTCTTGCCCTGATGAAGTTAACTATTTTAGTTACAACATCAACAACATGGTTAATTTTTAACACTGACTTACACAACACTTCCTGATGTATAATACAATGCAAAAATACCTATTTCTGCTCAGGGTTAATTTCTGTCACTTTATCCTGCATTCTCTTCAATAGTCCAACATTTTTCCCTGTCAGATTTGGACAACCATCCGTTGTCACGCCTGCCAGCTTGTCCCATTTCAGTCCCAACTTTTCCACACATGCATTTACCTCCGTGAACAAATCACTCCCTGTTGTTGTCCCTTTCATTGACTGCATGGCTGCCAGCTCCTCCGTGATTTTGAAGTCTGTAGTTATCCCACGTAGGAAGATGAGTAGCTGGGCAGTGTCACGTACATCGCAGCTCTCATCCAAAGCCAAGGAAAAAAAGTCAAAGTTGACCGCTCTGTTCTGCAGCTGAAGCTCCAGATTTCCCGCGATGTCCTCAATTCTCCTCGTAACAGTGCGTCGGGAGAGCGGCACTTTCTCAAATGCCTCCTTTTTCTCCGGGCATATTAGTGTCCAACAAACACTCCTTAATGAACTCTTCGTCCGAAAACGGTTAACTTTTAAGACATAACTCGTCTTGACCGCTGCATCTCTGGATGTGGAATGTTTTGTGGAAATGTGTTGTTGGCTTTGCAGCTTAGCTAGCAAAGCATCCGACCCCTTTGCCCGCTCTTCCTCAGACAGGTTCTTGTATTTATCTGCGTGTTTGGTAGCATAGTGGTGACTCAAATTGTACTCCTTGAACACAGCGACCTGCGCACCACAAACTAAACACACAGCTTTACCTTTCACTTCTGTAAATAAATACTTAGCGGTCCATGTCTTGTTGAAAACGCAGCATTCAGTATCGATCTTTCTTTTTTTGCCCTTGGCGGACATTTCGAGGACTAGCCGGCCAGCATCACTCGTAGCTGTTCACGGCATGCGCGTTTACGTAAATAAAAAAAACAGCAGCTTCCTTTTCAAAATAAAAGCAACACAGTTAGAAAAGTATTTACGCCATGCAAGCAATACAGCTGTGTTGCTTTTATTTTGAAAAGGTTGCTGTTTTTTTTCATTATGTTATAATTTATGATCAACCTCACACGGGCCGGCCAAGGCCGGCCAACGGGCCGGATGTGGCCCGCGGGCCGTAAAATGCCCACCCCTGCGTCTAGCTGCTTCTCAATGTCAAGGAAGGATCCTTCAGAGCCTCTATTTCAAGAATGCAACGTCATCGAATCCCGCCGAAGGACTGTTCCAATGTGCAGGATCCTTGGAATTCTACCGAGGACTGAATCCTTCGTTGCAGAACATTTCAAGGCTGATTATGTGTATCCTCGGCGCTCTTAAATTACCCACAATTCTTTGCGCACGCACCAATTTCCACGGACTGGCACGGTGGCATTAATAATGCAGTAATGATGGGCCTGCACAACATAAAGAATAGAGGGCAGTTTCTGTTTACTTGACATTTGTTAATGGTTATTTTTTTCAAATCTGCAATTTGCTTGTGTGTGTGTTTACATATTAAAAATACAATTTCAATGTGATTACACATTTTCTCCGCATCGATAAGTGTTAGAACGACTACAAACTATATATGCAAAATTGACACGGGTCAAAAGTGTTGCTTGCATGAAATAGAGGGAATAGAAAGGGGTGTCTACCAAGGGGATTCAAACCATCATGACAACTCACAAACTAACTATGGAGTAATTATGGATGCTTCATTTACTTGATTTACATTAGAGAATAAAACTCGTACGGAAGGCAAGACTTATTTAACTAGAACATCCTCCTCCGAGGGAGCAGACAGACGCAGACGATACTCCCGCTCGATCTCTTCCTCCATCTAAAAAAACTGGATGGATAAAAGTCAACAACAAAAACGTGTCCATATTCAATCTTCGCAAATCACTTATGAGTTCAAACAAATCACGCTCAATGTAAGGCGGGGCCTTGCATATGATGTACACCTGCACACTTGCTAGCCTGTTCCATTCTTCGTTCTTCGAATGCCAGGAAGGATTCTTGCCTAGCCTCTGAAGGACCTGACTCGGAAGGACATGTCTTACCAAGGAAGCGTCCTCGACTTTGAGAAACGACTAGGGATGTTAGGAATAAATAAGGAGTTTGGTAAGGGCTGTAAATTAAACACATCACACACCCTCTGGCCAACAGTAACGCACCACATTCACAAGATGTTGCAGTAGCAGACTTCAAGTCCTCAGGACTGACCACTCCAGAGGATAATGTTTCCTGACCGTGTTCATCTTTTGAGACCGTGTTTGTGAACATTTGTAACCTCTGTGAAGGAATGTTTACAGCTGTTTGATCAGAATATTAACGCTCTGCCAGCCAGTTGTTCATTATAATTTGGACTATTGAAGATCTTGAGCGCAACCTGCCAGCAAGTACTGAAGACTTCTAACCATTTATCAACTTTGTGGATTTTCCATCTGGAGGATTACATTCCGTTTTCTCTACATACCTCCTTAAATTCCTTAATTTGGATTTATCTACGTTGTGGATATACCTTTGAATTTACAGTACATTTGGAATATTGAAAAGCTCTTTAACTAATATAATTTGGGAATTTCTAGGCCTGGCAATACCTCCTTTCATCTCTTTCAACTTAGTTGCTGAGCTGTTTCACCTTTGCTCATTAAGTGGTATGTTTTTACGAATGAATACTTAGAGGTAATCAAATTAATAGTTGATTGTGAGTTGTATGTTCTCCATGCTAAATTCAGCAAAACATCTGAAAGGATTGTAATTGTCAAGGTATATTGTGATATGTGTTACGGTTCCTCTAGGTTACTGTAGCCATTTAATGAATGGACCCTGGACACTTAATGTATAATTCCATCAAATATTTCCTAGCTTTACCCATACGTAGTGTAGGGATCAAAAAGAGGAGAGCTGTCGTTAATAAATGCAAGACCAATGCTTAGACCTTTAGGCAACCATTAAGTCTTCCAATAAAAACCCAACGCAATGAACACAAAGGATACATATATATTTCATAAGCTTACAGCACTGTCCAAGCTTGTTTAAAACTGAGTGTTGTTAAATCCATTTCCAGTCTTTCTCCATCTTCATTTCCCACATCTGTTAGAATATGTATTTTTATTGGTTTAGCCACGACCTTATGACTGAAACACGACTGCACTTCCTCACAGCCATATTAGGGTCTGTAATTCAGAAATTATAAGAGTCATGGAGACAGTGGCGATTCTAGAGTCTGTGGGGGCCCTAGGCAAACATTCACTGGGGGCCCCTCGAACCAGCTTTTCATCCCCACGCACAGCCGACAGCACCCACCCCCGGAGCAGAGCAATGGAACGAAACTTAAGTTAAGAAGCTGCATTTCACGGCGCGCTATGCATGGGGCCGCCTTGAGGGGTTTTCCCGACATGTCGTTGCAGTAAATGAAAGGGTGTTTCATGTTGTCGTTGCTGTGGACCTTCTTAATCAACCTTCTTTGGGGGCCCCCTTCTGCTCCGGGGCCCCAAGCATGCAGTTGCCTGCCTTGCCTGTTCGCTAGCGGCGCCCCTGCATGGAGCTAACCTTCTTGATGTTTTAATTTGTGCTTGTATTATAATAACATTATAATAAATGAATAAAACATTAAAATAGTATCAAAAATGTTTTCTTACAAAATAAGAAACATTATAACAATTAAATAACTGAAATAATAAAATAAAAATCCACCAAAATAATTACATATTAAATAAAAAAATAATAAAATAGAAATTCATAGAAATTATAATTAACAAACTAAGAGTACACTTTTTTAAATTAGAATAAAACATTTTTTAATAAAATAATAAAAACAAACTTTAAAAACAATTATATAACGACATTTAAAATAAAAAACAATACGAATACAAAATTAATAAAAATAAAAAAAGTCATACAAATAAATTATAATAATGACAAAAATGTAATTAATAAATCATTAAAAAAAAAATACATAAAGAAACATGAAAATTAAATAAAAAAAGAAATAAAATAATTTAATAAAAGACTCTTTATGTTCTTAGGTCCTTTTTTTGGTATAATAACGTTATTATTACTATTATTATTATTATTAATGAATTTTTCAGTTTTCATGTTTTGTGTGTGAGAAGGACTCAAACACGTGATCTGTGTGAGAGCCAATCAGAAGCCAACAGGTCATGGATGCCGGTTTTTTTTTTTTTACCGGAAGAGAAGAAAATGGCTGCAGCTGCGAGGAACGGAAAGAGCGGACTTCTGGAAAAAGTGAGGATTTAAGAGTTATTGTTTTTATTCCTCTGGGTTTCATTCTGTCCCGGAGCTCAGCCTGCTGCAGCGGGGAGATCCGCTCAGCCTGAGCCGGGGGAGAGGCGCTATCTGCGGCTAAAGATACGCTTAACGTTTTAGCATGCTAAAGCTAAGCTAACGTTAGCATGCTAAAGTAAACATATGTTTGTATTAAGATTTCCTTTATTCGTCCCACAGAGAGGAGATCTAGCAGTTTAGATAGAGAGGAAACACACCACTAGATAAAGAAAAGCATGCACATAGTATTTAAAATGAAACCATATAAAATGCAAATGTACAGAAGAACACATTCAGATACTTCACAATCAGAATCTGTTTTTTTAAGTACACTTTCAAGACATTTGCTTTGATATAAATGATACAAACAGAGACACAGAGAGAAGAATACGTAGCAAAAAACAACACAAATAGTTATGTTATAAAAGCTATTTTGAGATCATTCAAAAATATAATTACGTGAGAAACTGAGTACAGTAAAATATAAAAAAGTATGACAAATATTACATTCAAAGTTTAGAGAAATGTGCAACATGTTGTTTATAAGATGAAACAGAACAAGACGGTTCAGAATAAAGACGGAACGGCAGCAGGAAATGAAAGTGTGTGAAGAGTTTCCGCTCTGTGAGTTTCCGTCTAAACTGTTCAAACAGGTTGAAGAATATATGAGAGAAAAATAAATATAAAAGTCATACATTTAAAGGGGACCTATCATGCAAAATGCCCTTCTTCATGTCTCTTCTACATCAACATGTGTCCCCTCTTCTTCATGTCTCTTCTACATCAACATGTGTCCCCTCTTCTTCATGTCTCTTCTACATCAACATGTGTCCCCTCTTCTTCATGTCTCTTCTACATCAACACGTGTCCCCTCTTCTTCATGTCTCTTCTACATCAACATGTGTCCCGTCTTCTTCATGTCTCTTCTACATCAACATGTGTCCCTCTTCTTCATGTCTCTTCTACATCAACATGTGTCCCTCTTCTTCATGTCTCTTCTACATCAACATGTGTCCCCTCTTCTTCATGTCTCTTCTTCATCAACATGTGTCCCCTCTTCTTCATGTCTCTTCTACATCAACATGTGTCCCTCTTCTTCATGTCTCTTCTACATCAACATGTGTCCCTCTTCTTCATGTCTCTTCTACATCAACATGTGTCCCTCTTCTTCATGTCTCTTCTACATCAACATGTGTCCCCTCTTCTTCATGTCTCTTCTTCATCAACATGTGTCCCCTCTTCTTCATGTCTCTTCTACATCAACATGTGTCCCCTCTTCTTCATGTCTCTTCTACATCAACATGTGTCCCCTCTTCTTCATGTCTCTCCTACATCAACATGTGTCCCCTCTTCTTCATGTCTCTTCTACATCAACATGTGTCCCCTCTTCTTCATGTCTCTTCTTCATCAACATGTGTCCCCTCTTCTTCATGTCTCTTCTACATCAACATGTGTCCCCTCTTCTTCATGTCTCTTCTACATCAACATGTGTCCCCTCTTCTTCATGTCTCTTCTACATCAGCATGTGTCCCCTCTTCTTCATGTCTCTCCTACATCAACATGTGTCCCCTCTTCTTCATGTCTCTTCTACATCAACATGTGTCCCCTCTTCTTCATGTCTCTTCTTCATCAACATGTGTCCCCTCTTCTTCATGTCTCTTCTACATCAACATGTGTCCCCTCTTCTTCATGTCTCTTCTTCATCAACATGTGTCCCCTCTTCTTCATGTCTCTTCTACATCAACATGTGTCCCCTCTTCTTCATGTCTCTTCTACATCAACATGTGTCCCCTCTTCTTCATGTCTCTTCTACATCAACATGTGTCCCCTCTTCTTCATGTCTCTTCTTCATCAACATGTGTCCCCTCTTCTTCATGTCTCTTCTTCATCAACATGTGTCCCCTCTTCTTCATGTCTCTTCTACATCAACATGTGTCCCCTCTTCTTCATGTCTCTTCTACATCAACATGTGTCCCCTCTTCTTCATGTCTCTTCTTCATCAACATGTGTCCCCTCTTCTTCATGTCTCTTCTACATCAACATGTGTCCCCTCTTCTTCATGTCTCTTCTTCATCAACATGTGTCCCCTCTTCTTCATGTCTCTTCTACATCAACATGTGTCCCCTCTTCTTCATGTCTCTTCTACATCAACATGTGTCCCCTCTTCTTCATGTCTCTTCTACATCAACATGTGTCCCCTCTTCTTCATGTCTCTTCTTCATCAACATGTGTCCCCTCTTCTTCATGTCTCTTCTTCATCAACATGTGTCCCCTCTTCTTCATGTCTCTTCTTCATCAACATGTGTCCCCTCTTCTTCATGTCTCTTCTTCATCAACATGTGTCCCCTCTTCTTCATGTCTCTTCTTCATCAACATGTGTCCCCTCTTCTTCATGTCTCTTCTACATCAACATGTGTCCCCTCTTCTTCATGTCTCTTCTTCATCAACATGTGTCCCCTCTTCTTCATGTCTCTTCTTCATCAACATGTGTCCCCTCTTCTTCATGTCTCTTCTTCATCAACATGTGTCCCCTCTTCTTCATGTCTCTTCTACATCAACATGTGTCCCCTCTTCTTCATGTCTCTTCTTCATCAACATGTGTCCCCTCTTCTTCATGTCTCTTCTTCATCAACATGTGTCCCCTCTTCTTCATGTCTCTTCTTCATCAACATGTGTCCCCTCTTCTTCATGTCTCTTCTACATCTACATGTGTCCCCTCTTCTTCATGTCTCTTCTTCATCAACATGTGTCCCCTCTGTGGAAAGAGACTCTGAAAGTTTCAGGAACAAAGATTCTCTCTCTTTTTGATCCATTTTTATAAAAACCTGTCTGAAAATGAGCTGATCAGATTTTGGCCACTTGATGATGTCATAACGATGTTTTGTCTTGTGTAACCATTAGCCAATCAGCAACCAAGGTAACCCCCCCCCCCACCTTATCACCTGAATCTCCTCCTAGAGCACCATTGAGTTCTTTGTAACCAAATCTCTCTCAGAGGGGCGTGGGGAGGGGCTCCTTATTTTCATCTGAAGTAACAGACAGAGAATCAGCACTTTGGAAACAGGGCTGAAACAGAGGGGATTATGGGTAATGCTGCAATGATCTGTTTGGTGTTTCAGCCAATCAGAGACAGGCTCTGGATATATCTGAGACCTGTGATATATTGATGAGAAACAGGATAATAGGGGACCTTTAAAATAGATATAAAAAATGTCAAAAATATTTAAAATGAAAAATGTCGGGCGAATAACAAAATCCATAAATATATGAAAACATGTCCAGATTATTTATGAAAAATAGCAAAGAATGAAATGAAAATATGTCAAAAAATATATGAAACATTTAATAATTTTGGGGTAAAAAGGGAAAGTAAACTTGTGTTGAAGTCCACAGCCATTCAGCGTATTTACCTCTGACATATTTGGTGCTTTTTAAAGAATACTTTTTATCGTTGATCTCTTTCCAGACTGCAGACGCACCGCAGCTGCTACCTTTTACCCTTTATAAGATCCGTATTCCCACTGAGTCGCTCCTTAAATGTTTGTTTACGTAACGCCACTGATGTCTTCATGGAATACAAATATGATTAATTTTCACTTTAAAACCTCTTCAGTGGAGGATCGATGAGAAGCCGGTGAAGATCGACAAATGGGACGGAGCGGCCATGAAAAACTCTCTGGACGACGCCGCCAAGAAGGTGAGCTCTTATTGTGAAAGGGTGTCAGCCAAAGTACGAGTGTTGTGTTCAGGTGCTGTGTATTGTGTGTGAAGCAGCAACTCTACATGAAAGTGCTGTTACAGTATACTGTATGCATCACATCTATCAGTGACACATCACCTCAGATATTATTCATCAGTCTTCAGTCCACTTGCAGAGAGACTGAGGTATAATTCATTAAAACCATAATTTCACCCCTCTGGATATAAATGTTTTTACGACTCATCCTGATTTGCTTTATAGATTAAGAGCTGTACGATGCTCAGTTAAAAATGGGAGGCATAGATTAGAAATATTACTAGTTAATTTACACGATTAGCTGCTGTGTGTTGTGTTCAGGTGCTACTGTGTGTTGTGTTCAGGTGCTGCTGTGTGTTGTGTTCAGGTGCTGCTGTGTGTTGTGTTCAGATGCTACTGTGTGTTGTGTTCAGATGCTGCTGTGTGTTGTGTTCGGGTGCTGCTGTGTGTTGTGTTCGGGTGCTGCTGTGTGTTGTGTTCAGGTGCTGCTGTGTGTTGTGTTCAGATGCTACTGTGTGTTGTGTTCAGGTGCTGCTGTGTGTTGTGTTCAGGTGCTGCTGTGTGTTGTGTTCAGGTGCTGCTGTGTGTTGTGTTCAGGTGCTGCTGTGTGTTGTGTGTCTGTGGGCCTTTCTCATTTCTCTAACTCCCCTCCTCGACTCCTATCCTCATGTCTTAGTCCCGCCCACAGGAGATGCGAGCGAGGAGTCGAGGAGGGGAGCCGAGGAGAGGAGGGGAACCGAGGAGAGAGGAGGGGAAGCGAGGAGAGAGGAGGGGAGCGGAGGAGAGAGGAGGGGAAGCAAGGAGAGAGGAGGGGAGCCGAGGAGAGAGGAGGGGAGCCGAGGAGAGAGGAGGGGAAGCGAGGAGAGAGGAGGGGAACCGAGGAGAGAGGAGGGGAACCGAGGAGAGAGGAGGGGAAGCGAGGAGAGAGGAGGGGAGCCGAGGAGAGAGGAGGGGAACCGAGGAGAGAGGAGGGGAAGCAGTAGGCGGTTAGAGAAATGAGAACTCCTCTCCTCTGAGCGGTCATTTTAAAGAGACGTCCATTAATGATGACAGGAGGCACAGCAGCCCTCTGTCTGATGGACAGATGTGTTCATGACCACTTATATATTTACTTTCATTCATTCACAGTGCGGTATAATGAGACACACACACACACACACACACACACACACACACACACACAGATTTATATAAATATATACATTTTCAGATTCAAACAAGTATGAGAGCACTCTCATAATAACGTCACACTATCACAGACTGGATATATCCCAGTTAATAAAATAATATCCAGGGGATGCATGCAGAGCTGTGATTGGTTGAGATCAGTCCGGCCGTGCGTCACGACTCTTTGAAACATCTCTGTTGCCGGAAATACATCCGTGGAGGACCCATCAGTGTCTCCTCGGTTATAGCTCCTCCAGAGAGCCTCCTCGACGCTCGATGCTCGGTCCTCGATGTGCATTTAGAGAAATAAAATGTCCTTCAACATGGCGCGCTGAAATCCATTTCCGGGTCACTACCGGAGGACCGAGGAGTCGAGGAGTCGAGGAGGGGAAATTAGTGCAATGAGAAAGGCCCTGTGTGTTAAAGCTGCTGTGTGTTGTGTTCAGGTGCTGCTGGAGAAGTTCTGTTACTTGGAGCACTTTGGTCTGGTGGACGGCCGGCTGCTCGTCTGCACCGTCTCGTGTCTCTTCGCTGTCCTGGCCTTAGTGTGGGATTTCCTGCATCCTTTCCCCGAGTCCAGACCCGTCCTCGCCTGCTGCGTCATCTCATATCCTCGCAGGAGCGCTCTAAAATATATCATTATTGTTATTATTTCATTATTATGTTATTTTATTTTATTAAATGTATACTCTGTTTCAGTAAAAGTCCTGCAATCAAAATGTTCCTCAAGTAAAAGTAGAAAAGTATTCTCATCAAAATATAGTTAAAGTACTGACAGTAAAAGTAGAAGTACTCAGATCTTGTACTTGAGTAAAAGTAGAAGTACTCAGATCTTGTACTTGAGTAAAAGTAGAAGTACTCAGATCTTGTACTTGAGTAAAAGTAGAAGTACTCAGATCTTGTACTTGAGTAAAAGTAGAAGTACTCAGATCGTGTACTTGAGTAAAAGTAGAAGTACTCAGATCTTGTACTTGAGTAAAAGTAGAAGTACTCAGATCTTGTACTTGAGTAAAAGTAGAAGTACTCAGATCTTGTACTTGAGTAAAAGTAGAAGTACTCAGATCTTGTACTTGAGTAAAAGTAGAAGTACTCAGATCGTGTACTTGAGTAAAAGTAGAAGTACTCAGATCTTGTACTTGAGTAAAAGTAGAAGTACTCAGATCTTGTACTTGAGTAAAAGTAGAAGTACTCAGATCTTGTACTTGAGTAAAAGTAGAAGTACTCAGATCTTGTACTTGAGTAAAAGTAGAAGTACTCAGATCTTGTACTTGAGTAAAAGTAGAAGTACTCAGATCGTGTACTTGAGTAAAAGTAGAAGTACTCAGATCTTGTACTTGAGTAAAAGTAGAAGTACTCAGATCTTGTACTTGAGTAAAAGTAGAAGTACTCAGATCTTGTACTTGAGTAAAAGTAGAAGTACTCAGATCTTGTACTTGAGTAAAAGTAGAAGTACTCAGATCTTGTACTTGAGTAAAAGTAGAAGTACTCAGATATTGTACTTGAGTAAAAGTAGAAGTACTCAGATCGTGTACTTGAGTAAAAGTAGAAGTACTCAGATCTTGTACTTGAGTAAAAGTAGAAGTACTCAGATCTTGTACTTGAGTAAAAGTAGAAGTACTCAGATCTTGTACTTGAGTAAAAGTAGAAGTACTCAGATCGTGTACTTGAGTAAAAGTAGAAGTACTCAGATCGTGTACTTGAGTAAAAGTAGAAGTACTCAGATCTTGTACTTGAGTAAAAGTAGAAGTACTCAGATCTTGTACTTGAGTAAAAGTAGAAGTACTCAGATCTTGTACTTGAGTAAAAGTAGAAGTACTCAGATCTTGTACTTGAGTAAAAGTAGAAGTACTCAGATCTTGTACTTGAGTAAAAGTAGAAGTACTCAGATCGTGTACTTGAGTAAAAGTAGAAGTACTCAGATCTTGTACTTGAGTAAAAGTAGAAGTACTCAGATCTTGTACTTGAGTAAAAGTAGAAGTACTCAGATCTTGTACTTGAGTAAAAGTAGAAGTACTCAGATCTTGTACTTGAGTAAAAGTAGAAGTACTCAGATCTTGTACTTGAGTAAAAGTAGAAGTACTCAGATCGTGTACTTGAGTAAAAGTAGAAGTACTCAGATCTTGTACTTGAGTAAAAGTAGAAGTACTCAGATCTTGTACTTGAGTAAAAGTAGAAGTACTCAGATCTTGTACTTGAGTAAAAGTAGAAGTACTCAGATCTTGTACTTGAGTAAAAGTAGAAGTACTCAGATCTTGTACTTGAGTAAAAGTAGAAGTACTCAGATCTTGTACTTGAGTAAAAGTAGAAGTACTCAGATCTTGTACTTGAGTAAAAGTAGAAGTACTCAGATCTTGTACTTGAGTAAAAGTAGAAGTACTCAGATCTTGTACTTGAGTAAAAGTAGAAGTACTCAGATCTTGACACTAGTATACAGTCTGATTATATATTTACTAAACCGGCTCCTCCACCTTAGTGGTAGATGCGTAATTGCACGTTATTTATCGAAAATTAATAATAATATTGCACGTGTTCTACAGCAGAGTGTTTTGTAATGATAGTGGTCGTATTGATGTTGTTGTTCAGGTGTTTATCAGTCTTATGGCCTGTTATTATTGTTGTTGTTGTTATTGTTGTTATTGTTGTTGTTGTTGTCCTTAACCCGGCCCACGTACTTCATCATGATGGCGGTGCTGACGCTGTACACGTCGTACCGGGAGAAGAACATCTTCCTGGTGGCTCAGCAGAAAGACCCGGCTGGCATGGACCCGGATCACAGCTGGACGCTCTGCTCCTCCCTCAAACGGTCAGCTCCCAGCATGCACTGCTCCGACCCCGTACTGGCTTTATACACATTCAGTCATTTTCATATTAATTCATTTACATGTATCTTCTTTAGCACAGGACCCTTTGTCTGTTAAAGGAAAGAAAAATACCCCTCTCCCCCCCCCCATTAGGTCATGGTCACAGAACAAATAATAAGAATACATTTAATAATTGTATTTATTTATTATTATTTAATTTGTTTATTATTATTATTTAGTATTGACTTGAAATATTTATCTATTTATGTTTCAATAATTTATATATATATATTTTTTTCACTAATATTTATTAGTATTTGTTATAATTTTGTATTTATTTGTATTTATGTTTATTTATAGTCCAGCAGATATGTGAAAGAATTGTGCTTTTGATGATAAAAACATGAACTTTGGCACACTGCTAGAGCACGCCCTAAGGAAGGTTTTTGGCTAAAGGGCCGTCGCATATTTGTCCATTGGTTGTTATTTTACCAGTAGCCTAGGGTCTTGATTCTGGTGGCTAATCCTACATTTTCAAGGATGAGGAATGCAGTGGTACTATTTACAACATGCTAGAATGTAGCTAACTCCATGTATCTGGTATTCAGGGAGCATATCAAACTTCCCAGCTCCAAAGGCAACCCACAGCTCAGTGGGATTGGGCTGCTGTGACTGCCAGTACTACCACATCCGTGTCAACTGTGCGTATTGACACCTTGCTATACCCGTCCTTCACAGCATCTCCTAGGTGCAGTAGGATGTGGTTATCCTCCTCATGTGTGCATGGTGCAAATACTGATTATTTGTTTGCCAGTGTTGAGGGCTGTCACACTGGTGGCCAGGAAGGCGGACAGTTCAGCCTTCTTGTCTTCAATGCGCAGAAACTCTGGCCAGTCTCCAGGACTGACACTGGATGGCTCAACGCGTCTATGAACTCCCTTCCCTCTCTTGCAGCGTGTTTCAGCCTTCAGACTTTCGGGGAAATATTCATCCCACACGACATGGACTCTGCTGACATGCTCCAGCTGAGACAGGATGTATGGTGAGAACACTTTCTGCACATAATCAAAAAACGTCTTAGCAGCACCAGGTCGTAGCATGTTCACAAGAGCAGCCCCATCAAGGATGATGACCTGTACTGTGGGGTGGGATGCATTCTCTTGTAAATAGGGTCCTCCAAACAGCCCACCAATCTGACTTGGTGCCAGTTCTCAGCTTGCCCATTTGGGACAATGCTGGTGGCCTTTCATGAGTCTTCTTGAGCAGGGGGGGGGGGCCTTCAGGCGCTGCAGGATTTGATCCATTATGGTGTTGTGTGTTACCAATAGTTTTCTTGGTGGCTGTGGTCCCAGCTGCCTTGAAATCATTAACAGGTTCCTCCCGTGTAGTTCTTGGCTGATACCTCACGTTTCTCATGATCATCAATACCCCACGGGGCCAGATCTTGTGTGGAGCCCCAGACCGAGGGCGATTGATTGTTGATTGATGCCCATTTTATTTTTTTCCATCTCCGAATAATCGCACCAACAGTCACCTTCTCCCCAAGCTGCTTTCTGATGGTCTTGTAGCCGATCCCAGCCTTGTGCAGGTCTACAATCGTGTCCCTGAGGTACTTAGACAGCTCTTTAGTCTGGCCCATGGTGGAGAGGTTGGAATCTGATGTATTGATTCTGTGGACAGGTGTCTCTCATACAGGTAACAAGTTGATATGAGGAGTACTTTCTTAAAGGAAGAGGACTTCTGTAACCGGTCTGTGGGAGCCAGAATTCATCAAGTGGATCAAATACTTATTTCCCACAGTTAAATGCAAATACATTTGTATCTTTTATATAATGTCATTTTCTGGATTTTCTCTCACTGTTAAAATAAACCTACCATTACAATTATAGACTGTTCATTTATTTGTAAGTGGGTGAATAAAAAAGAAAATTGGCAAGGGATCAAATACTTATTTCCTCCACTGTAGGTGTCATACTGGTCCTGTCCAAGCTTCTCAATCTGGTTCAGAGTGTCAATGACTGCTGCGTCTGCAAGGTCTCTAGTATCCAGTACAAGAAGATCTCCACTGCTCTTTTCACAGCATGGATTGCCCATGTCTTCTCTAGCACCAGTTAGTGCTTTAACATCTCATGCAAATGCCATCTGTGCATGTTTGGGTCTGCTCATGGTGCCGGGTGTCAGTCTCCTTTCTCTTCTCAGTGGAGGCCTCAAACTCTCCAACCACACGTGCCATCTCGGGGCCAGACAGCATCCAGCGTCGCAGAGCTGCAGGGTTCTCTGTCAGGCCCACAGCTCCACCATCACCTTTCACAGAGGCATTGTTCTGCTCCTGGGCAATGGCACTAGCAGAGAAGCTGCGTGTCGTCTTCTTCACAGCAGAAACTGCCCATGGACATCAGGATGATTATCTTTTAGCACAATCATGTCACGCAAGTGGACTGGTGTCCATCCGGCAGAGTGGGTGTGTCCCAGAGAGAGGAACGAAGGCACAATCTTGGTCAGGGCATTTATATAGAGTAGGAAGTCAGCCTCTCTTATTGATCGCACATCGATCATCAACTCTATTTCCAGCTACAGGATGGTAGACCAGAAGTGGAACTGGGGACATGACACTGCTCCTGACCACCCGCTACCCCTCCAGGAGGTCGCCAAGTACCTTGAGTGCTGCCATCTCAATGTGAAACCCAACAAACATCACAATAAAATTATCTTCACTGTGAGTCGCTGGCCAGCTCCACTGGGTTTGTTTGGCCACAGCGTATAGAGGTGGATCCAGAGTGATGATTGGTATCTGACCAGGATTCAGAATCTCCGATGCCTGCCTTGCCACATCCATGGAATGACTAATCATGGCCACAGATTTGGCCTGGTCGTAGAAGAGGGGAAGAGAGTGTGACAGTGCTCTCTGGTATTGTATGACCGCACTAGGAGGAGTCAGTCAATCAGGCACGCAAACAGCTCTTCACCCAGAAAGGTAGAACAATTGAAGGACTCCCCCCAACACAAGCAGCATTGATTCAGCACACGAAGAGAGCTGCTGGGGGACAGATGATGTTTGCAGCCCCTGAACTCCCATCCCCAGGTGACTGGATGCAACAAGGGGTGCAGTGGACCATTTTCAAATGTGTCAAGGCAGCAATTCAGTGCACTGCCCTTGCTACTGTGGAGGACTGTGTTTTCAGAACTAACTCTGCATTTAGTTGAAAACCTGTAATATTACATATATATTATGTAACATTTATTTCCCTGAATACCAGATACATGGATTTAGCTACATTCTAGCATGTTGTAAATAGTACCACTGCATTCCTCATCCTTGAAAATGTAGGATTAGCGACCAGAATCAAGACCCTAGGTGGTCTAGATCAGGGGTTCCCAAACGTTTCATCCCGCGACCCCCAAAATAACGGTGCCAGAGACTGGCGACCCCTTTGGGGGGGGGCGGGTGCTAGTGAATACGTTTTAGTTTTCCACACTCTCACGGGAATATCTCCGCGATGGAGCGAACTTAACTTTCACTTTCGATTGCCTGATATAGCCCAGCGCAACACCTTCGTCACACATGTTGCCACTTGTTTGTACCATTTCCAGGCGATTTGTAATCTGTTCTAGAAAAACGATGTGTTTTTTTTAGGATTTCAAGAAGCGTATCAAACAAACAATGGATGTCTTTTATGAACATTTACCCATGCTGGAAGTAGATTTAGATGTTAGGAGTGAGATAGAGATTATTATCTAATATATGCATCCGATCCGAAGCATTGCATGAAGTCTGTTGATGATCAGAGGCTGTTGTTGGGGCAGACCATGCAGGACAGCCCATGGTCACCAAGGTTCATGTTTTAATAGCATCTTTACAAAAAAAGCCCAGGCGAGCCGAACATGTGAAAAAGGGCTTCGACCTCAGAGAGTTAGACTTGGGCCTGCGACCATAGTTTGACAGCGGAGGTTTGTGTCGTACTATGCGGTGTATTTTGCATATCTCTCAGTAGCCAACGATCTGTGAGTCTGTTGGCTCGGACATAAACTCCGTAATAAATGTAGTGTACATTTCATAAGAGTTGTAAAACCTGAGCATTTGAAATCACATTTGAACGAAATGCCTATATAATCTGTAGTTGTATTTGTATTGTTGATTTATTGTGTGAACGAGGCGATGTAGAGAAGGTTAAGATGTCATTATCAGGCTGCTGCTGTTGGAGTGGAGCAGGCCTTTAGTTTCTGGATGTCTGTGGAGTCAGGTGGTCCGTGAGTGTTCTTTATTGGTTAAGTGTCCTTGGTATGAAACAGTTTGAGAAACACTGCGCTAGTGGATTGTCAACGGGGGGAGCCTCGCTGCGGGGAAATTATACAGATGGCTAGTCCGCCCCTGAAAAATGTCTATGCACACGTCGTTACTAATAATAATTAAAAAATGGATTAAAAAAAATAAAATATTTTATTTTCATTTTGTAATCATCTCGCGACCCCCACTCAGGGTCTCGCGACCCCCACTTTGGGAACCCCTGGTCTAGATCCTAAGCTACTGGTAAAATAACAACCAATGGACAAATATGCGATGACCCTTTAGCCAAAAACCTTCCTTAGGGCGTGCTCTAGCAGTGTGCCAGAGTTCATGTTTTTATCATCAAAAGCACAATTCTTTCACATATTTCACATATCTGCTGATATGACTATTAGGGTCCTCAGTAGCTTTTGCTCTTGACAAAAGCTACTCTTCCTGGGGTCCGACACTTAAAACAATACAACAACATTCAAGACATAAGTCCTGACATCATTAACAACATTAACGATCTCATCTTTCAATATCAATCTCAGCCAAGGATGAGTTCACAAGACGCCCACCAGCACAAAGCATGACATGAGGGTCCACAGTAAGGGGTACATGCTCGATAGCAGATGGCCCTTCAATCTCTTCTTGAAAGAGGCTCTATTTCAGCGATGAGTTCCCTTACAGCTCTATAAGTCACAGAAGACGCCCGTGGATTGTTTTTTTTGCTAAATTGGAAATTTTTTAGAAAAGTGATAACACGAGATTGCAGACGTTTCTCAACCGGAAGCCGTGATAGGTTTCGATGCTTAACTCCAATATGAGTGCGCTCCGAACAGAGAGCTAGTCATTTATATATATTTGTTATTATTTATTAAAAGCGCTATATAAATTTAATTTATTATTATTTAATCATGTTTTTAATTATTTATATATATTTGTATTATTATTTGGATTCAATTATATTCATTGATATTTATTTATGTTTTTTTATTTCTATTTATTTGTATTGAATTATATTTATTTGTATTATTAATATTTTGTATTATTTATATTTATTTATGTTTTTAATTATTTATATTTATCTGTATTTGTATTTATTAATATATATATATGTGTATGTGCTGCAGGTTTGACGACCAGTACTCGCTCAGAGTTTCTTTCACTGACGGGAAAACCAAGAAGACTCGCGACGCCGAGTTCACCGAGTCCGTGTCGGCGTTTTTCGACGAAGAAGGGACGCTCGACATGGACCCGTTCGAGAAAAGTGTTTCCAAGCTTCACGACGCTCTGGGCGCCGACAAGAAGAGCAAGTAATACTCCAGATAATACTTCAGATAATACTCCAACAAGTACTCGGTGGTTTCTGAGGCTTCAGGAGATCATCGGTGTTTCGTCCCGAGTTTAAACGTTTTTTTCAAACAGGAAACACTTATTTTTCGGCTATTAAGACTAAATATTCGTGTTGCGTTCAAAGACGTCCTCTGTGCAGTTTGTGAGGGACATTTCTGTGACGCTTCATAAACCAAATGATTGTCAATGATTTAACAAAATAAAGTGCAGTTTGCAGCCTGAGATCATCAACAGCTGGTCGTCAGTATTTCATCCCATAATAACATTTCAGCTCCACACTTCCTGTTTACAAGACCAAAAGAAAACAACAACAACAGAGCAGTCTGAATAAGACAACAGGAAGTGGTGCGAATGTCGACCAAATTGAAATTTTGAATGTTTATTTTGTATTATTTCCTATTTCTCTGTAACGTCTGAAACAAGCGTGTGAACTCATTAAAGATGGAGAATGTTACCGACACCCTGAATCATATTTTTTTCATATTTATTGTATTATTATTTGCGTGATTTCCACCCGCAGTACCACCGTTCCTCCAGCAGGGGGCGCTGCTGCTCTGTTTCCCCTTCAGCTCCATAGCACAATCACGGCTGGGCTAAAAAGATATGCACTTATAATATTCACAATTAATACAAATACACAACTGTATACATTGTAATAAAGACATGTGTATATATTTAATGCACATTTTGTATTTTTATTAATATATAAATTGTATTTAATCTTGTCTTTTATATTTTATTCTTAAATAAAATAACTTTTATGAAACCATATTCTCCCCAGAATGAATAAAGTATATGGATTGGGATAAATTATAATAAATAATAATAATATATTTGATATTTTACTTTGTCTGTGGTTAAGCAGAATTATTTTTAAATGTTTAAAACTAGTAGAATTCAAAACTAACGTGTATATATTATTGATATAACACCGGCTGTGAAAAACCGGCAAGAAGAATTTCAAAACAGCAAAAAATGTGTATTAAATATAATAAAAATGTGATACATTACATTATATTAGATTATTATTATTATTTTATTTGTATTCATCTATCTATTCAATATCATACATGAACATCATACATTTGTACATACACCAAAGTCCAGGGGCAGACGTACAAAGCAACAAGACATTACATACAGTCAATAAAGAAAAATAAATGTTGATACTTCAGATTACATATGTTTTAAATATCAAATTAGTTTTGATTGCCTTCTTATTCCTAATGTTTTTTATAGTGCTAATATATTGTTTTTTTGATAGTGTAAAAAATGTGGTTTGGAGTCAGCCCATTTCTTTTTAAAATACAATTAACTGCACAATCTGCATCCATACCATCATCCCTGAAGTTCATGAGAATGTCTTTCTATCCTGGAGTTGAACCTTTTGTCTTTCTTCTAATAAAACATTCTACATCAAACCACAATATTACATTATATTAGATTCAACTTCATATATCACATTTTACCTCCTTGTGTGTATTAACCTGATCAAATGTTATATTGTGCTGCATGTACCTTTAAAGTTCTCAACAAATGATCTGAGGGGAATTTCTTGTTTACTTTTAACTTGTGATGAGTCCTTTTGGAAAGCAGAATGAGAATCAGGTTTATCTCCAGGTGGGTTAACACGTACGAGGAATTTGACTTGATGTCGTGGTGCATACATACACGTAAAACAACAATTAAAAAACACAGATAGAGAACTATTTTAAGAACACTATAGTAACATAAAATAAGTAAAATTATAAATAAAATAAAGCAGTATTTACATTGAAATAGAATGGAATAAAATATTAAATATGTGCAGTAAAAAAAAGCACTTTGAGCTGCCTGTGTTTTATGAAAAGTGCTATATAAATAAAGCTTTAATATTATTATCATTGCACAGAGTGAATATGTGGGCGGGACCTCTGTGCTCAGTGTAAAGGGGGCGGGGCCAGTGTTCCCTCCGCTTCCCCTCCCTCTCACTGAGGCTCAATATGTGGGCGGGACCTCTGTGCTCAGTGTAAAGGGGGGCGGGGCCAGTGTTGCCTCCGCTTCTCCTCCCTCTCACTGAGGCTCAATATGTGGGCGGGACCTCTGCAGAAGGGGCGGGGCCAGTGTAAAGGGGGCGGGGCCAGTGTTCCCTCGCTTCTCCTCCCTCTCACTGAGGCTCTTTCAGGGACTGATGGCCTGTCTGATGGCCGCCTGGTGCGTCCACAACCCCGCCGTCACCAACTGCATCATCATGGTGAGTATACTATACTATATATACTGTCTACTATATATTATATACTATATACTATATACTACAGGGCTGGGAGAAGATAAGAGATAAGAGAAGTACTTTATTGATCCCAATTTGGGAAATGTTTGCGTTGCAGCAACATAAAAATAAGGCAATGAGAGAAATTAAGACACTAGAAATAAAACGTCCAAAACATTTCTGAAATATAAGTACTCAGATCTAGTTCTTGAGTAAAAGTAGAAGTACTCAGATCTAGTTCTTGAGTAAAAGTAGAAGTACTCAGATCTTGTACTTGAATAAAAGTAGAAGTACTCAGATCTTGTACTTGAGTAAAAGTAGAAGTACTCAGAGCTTGTACTTGAGTAAAAGGAGAAGTACTCAGATCTTGTACTTGAGTAAAAGTAGAAGTACTCAGATCTTGTACTTGAGTAAAAGTAGAAGTACTCAGAGCTTGTACTTGAGTAAAAGGAGAAGTACTCAGATCTTGTACTTGAGTAAAAGTAGAAGTACTCAGATCTTGTACTTGAGTAAAAGTAGAAGTACTCAGATCTTGTACTTGAGTATAAGTATAAGTACTCAGATATTGTACTTGAATAAAAATAGAAGTAATCAGTTCTTGTACTTGAGTAAAAGTAGAAGTACTCAGATATTGTACTTGAGTAAAAGTAGAAGTACTCAGAGCTTGTACTTGAGTAAAAGGAGAAGTACTCAGATCTTGTACTTGAGTAAAAGTAGAAGTACTCAGATCTAGTTCTTGAGTAAAAGTAGATGTACTCAGATCTTGTACTTGAGTAAAAGTAGAAGTACTCAGATCTTGTACTTGAGTAAAAGTAGAAGTACTCAGATCTTGTACTTGAGTATAAGTATAAGTACTCAGATATTGTACTTGAATAAAAGTAGAAGTACTCAGATCTTGTACTTGAGTAAAAGTAGAAGTACTCAGATCTTGTACTTGAGTAAAAGTAGAAGTACTCAGATCTTGTACTTGAGTAAAAGTAGAAGTACTCAGATCTTGTACTTGAGTAAAAGTAGAAGTACTCAGATCTAGTTCTTGAGTAAAAGTAGAAGTACTCAGATCTAGTTCTTGAGTAAAAGTAGAAGTACTCAGATCTTGTACTTGAGTAAAAGTAGAAGTACTCAGATCTTGTACTTGAGTAAAAGTAGAAGTACTCAGATCTTGTACTTGAGTAAAAGTAGAAGTACTCAGATCTTGTACTTGAGTAAAAGTAGAAGTACTCAGATCTTGTACTTGAGTAAAAGTAGAAGTACTCAAATCTTGTACTTGAGTAAAAGTAGAAGTACTCAGATCTTGTACTTGAGTAAAAGTAGAAGTACTCAGATCTTGTACTTGAGTAAAAGTAGAAGTACTCAGATCTTGTACTTGAGTAAAAGTAGAAGTACTCAGATCGTGTTCTTGAGTAAAAGTAGAAGTACTCAGATCTTGTACTTGAGTAAAAGTAGAAGTACTCAGATCTTGTACTTGAGTAAAAGTAGAAGTACTCAGATCTTGTACTTGAGTAAAAGTAGAAGTACCAGAGTGTAGGAATACTCTGTTTCAGTAAAAGTCCTGCATTCAAAATGTTCCTCAAGTGAAAGTATAAAAGTATTATCATCAAAATATAGTTAAAGTAGCGACAGTAAAAGTAGTGATTGTGCAGATTGGTCCATTTCAGAATAATATATATGATATGTTTTATAATGATTGATCATGAAAGTGTTCTCAAAGCTGGTAAAGGTGCAGCTAGTTTGAATGACTTTGTATACTGCAGGGTAGCTTGTGGATTTACTCCAGGTGGAACTAAAGTCTGATTTAACACTTGGTTAGATTTCACATCATTCATCCAGATCTGTAAAGTAACTAAAGGTATTAAATACATGTAGTGGAGTAGAAGTACACCAAGTACCTCTGAACTGTAGTGGAGTAGAAGTACACAGTAGCATAACATGGAAATACGCGACACCGCGGACATAGTGGAGATATATAAGGAACTTTGTGGACAAATACTATAGGGATAAACTGGGGACATACTGGACATATACTAAGGATATATTAGAGAAAATACTAGAGAAATACAAAAAAAAACTGGGGATATACAGTGGAGATACATTAGGGACATACTGGACAAATACTTGGGATAAAACTCAAGATATACTGGAAATATATTAAATAAAACTGGAGAAATCCTCTAGAGATATTCAGAGCATACTGGACAGACACTGGGGTTAACTATGGTGCATATTATATTTGAATATATCTATATATTTGTGTATGTATATAGAATTGTATTTACAGGTAGTATTTGTGTGTGGTGTCCGACAGTGACCTCCTGAATTAAGTAGATTAGTTCCACATTTAGCAGCAGGATAAACAACAACAACAACAGCCAATCAGAAACTACTTCCTGTTTGTCCCGCAGACGTCAACACAGGACGAGAAGAGAAATAAAAGTGCTGAATGATTTAATAATAATTAATATTCCAAAAAAAGTAATAATACCAATAATACAAAAATTAAATAATAATATGAATGCCCCTCAGAACACCAACGGGCCCCCGGACCTCATGTTGGACCCCCGGGCGGTGTGTGTCTGTCTAGAGGGGGAGGAGCAGAAGAAGAAGAAGCCGGGGAATCAGCTGATGGAGGCTCAGAGGTTCTCCTCGTTACCACGGAGACCAGCTGTCAACATCGAGTTCAGGGACGTTTCGTACTGCGTCAGAGAGGGACCCTGGTGGAGGAGGAAAGGTACTGCACTATAATAACAATAATAATAATAATACATGTATTGTATATTACCAGTACTACACAATACTACCAGTACTATACAATTATACCAGTGCTATACAATTCTACCAGTACTATACATGTTACTTGTTAGACGCTTTTATCCAAAGCGACTTACATACTCAACACTGTGGGCAATCCCCACAGGAGCAATTTGGGGTGAAGTGTCTCAGGGACACAACGACATGCTGACTGCAGTGGGGTTTGAACCTGTGACCCCCTGATCCCAACACCTACGGACAACCCACTGCACCACACGCCTCCCATAATACCAGTACTATACAATACTACCAGTACTACACAATACTAGCAGTACTATACAATACTACCAGTACTACCAGAGATGGCAAAAGTAAACACATCCTTTACTCGAGTAGAAGTACCGCTTAACTCAAGTCAAAGTAAAGAGGCTTTGAAATGTACTTCAGTAAAAAGTACCCATAACTAGCAGCTGCTTTAAAGAGTACCTGACCTCCCTTTATATTAATAGAACAATAATGTCATTGTTAGCTAATGAATGTTTCCATGCTGAACAACGGCAACATGACAACGTTTTCATTGGTCCCTCTTCTTTAGAGAAGACCAGGAAATGATGGATACACGGATCGTGTTCAAATCAATAGGCACGCAATGACTCTAAATAATAATGATCACGCCACCAAACACACATTCAAACTAAAGGAACCAGCCTGTTTGGGAAATGTGAGAAGTAGAAAGTACAGGTATTTGAGTTCAACATGTAAGAAGTAGAAAGTACAGGTATTTGGGTTCAACATGTGAGAAGTAGAAAGTACAGGTATTTGGGTTCAACATGTAAGAAGTAGAAAGTACAGGTATTTGTGTTCAACATGTAAGAAGTAGAAAGTACAGGTATTTGGGTTCAACATGTAAGAAGTAGAAAGTACAGGTATTTGAGTTCAACATGTAAGAAGTAGAAAGTACAGGTATTTGGGTTCAACATGTGAGAAGTAGAAAGTACAGGTATTTGTGTTCAACATGTAAGAAGTAGAAAGTACAGGTATTTGGGTTCAACATGTGAGAAGTAGAAAGTACAGGTATTTGTGTTCAACATGTAAGAAGTAGAAAGTACAGGTATTTGTGTTCAACATGTAAGAAGTAGAAAGTACAGGTATTTGTGTTCAACATGTAAGAAGTAGAAAGTACAGGTATTTGTGTTCAACATGTAAGAAGTAGAAAGTACAGGTATTTGGGTTCAACATGTGAGAAGTAGAAAGTACAGGTATTTGTGTTCAACATGTAAGAAGTAGAAAGTACAGGTATTTGGGTTCAACATGTGAGAAGTAGAAAGTACAGGTATTTGTGTTCAACATGTAAGAAGTAGAAAGTACAGGTATTTGGGTTCAACATGTAAGAAGTAGAAAGTACAGGTATTTGGGTTCAACATGTGAGAAGTAGAAAGTACAGGTATTTGTGTTCAACATGTAAGAAGTAGAAAGTACAGGTATTTGGGTTCAACATGTGAGAAGTAGAAAGTACAGGTATTTGTGTTCAACATGTGAGAAGTAGAAAGTACAGGTATTTGTGTTCAACATGTAAGAAGTAGAAAGTACAGGTATTTGTGTTCAACATGTAAGAAGTAGAAAGTACAGGTATTTGGGTTCAACATGTGAGAAGTAGAAAGTACAGGTATTTGTGTTCAACATGTGAGAAGTAGAAAGTACAGGTATTTGTGTTCAACATGTAAGAAGTAGAAAGTACAGGTATTTGTGTTCAACATGTAAGAAGTAGAAAGTACAGGTATTTGTGTTCAACATGTAAGAAGTAGAAAGTACAGGTATTAGTGTTCAACATGTAAGAAGTAGAAAGTACAGGTATTGTGTTCAACATGTAAGAAGTAGAAAGTACAGGTATTTGTGTTCAACATGTAAGAAGTAGAAAGTACAGGTATTTGGGTTCAACATGTAAGAAGTAGAAAGTACAGGTATTTGGGTTCAACATGTAAGAAGTAGAAAGTACAGGTATTTGGGTTCAACATGTAAGAAGTAGAAAGTACAGGTATTTGGGTTCAACATGTGAGAAGTAGAAAGTACAGGTATTTGTGTTCAACATGTGAGAAGTAGAAAGTACAGGTATTTGTGTTCAACATGTAAGAAGTAGAAAGTACAGGTATTTGTGTTCAACATGTAAGAAGTAGAAAGTACAGGTATTTGTGTTCAACATGTAAGAAGTAGAAAGTACAGGTATTTGTGTTCAACATGTAAGAAGTAGAAAGTACAGGTATTTGTGTTCAACATGTAAGAAGTAGAAAGTACAGGTATTTGTGTTCAACATGTAAGAAGTAGAAAGTACAGGTATTTGTGTTCAACATGTGAGAAGTAGAAAGTACAGGTATTTGTGTTCAAAATGTAAGAAGTAGAAAGTACAGGTATTTGTGTTCAACATGTAAGAAGTAGAAAGTACAGGTATTTGTGTTCAACATGTAAGAAGTAGAAAGTACAGGTATTTGTGTTCAACATGTAAGAAGTAGAAAGTACAGGTATTTGTGTTCAACATGTAAGAAGTAGAAAGTACAGGTATTTGTGTTCAACATGTAAGAAGTAGAAAGTACAGGTATTTGTGTTCAACATGTAAGAAGTAGAAAGTACAGGTATTTGTGTTCAACATGTGAGAAGTAGAAAGTACAGGTATTTGTGTTCAAAATGTAAGAAGTAGAAAGTACAGGTATTTGTGTTCAACATGTAAGAAGTAGAAAGTACAGGTATTTGTGTTCAACATGTAAGAAGTAGAAAGTACAGGTATTTGTGTTCAACATGTAAGAAGTAGAAAGTACAGGTATTTGTGTTCAACATGTAAGAAGTAGAAAGTACAGGTATTTGTGTTCAACATGTAAGAAGTAGAAAGTACAGGTATTTGTGTTCAACATGTAAGAAGTAGAAAGTACAGGTATTTGTGTTCAACATGTAAGAAGTAGAAAGTACAGGTATTTGTGTTCAACATGTAAAAAGTCAAAGTAAAAGTCAGAAAAATAAGTAGTGGAGTAAAGTACTGATACCAGACACATACGTACTTAAAGGTGGGGTAGGTAAATTTGAGAAACCAGCTCGAGATCGCTAGAATTTGAAAATACACCGGAGAAAATCTGCCACTTCCTCACAGAGCCCCTCCTCCAACACACACGAACGCGCACATGACCAATGAGGGCACGAGATAAGTTTGTGCACAGATGGAAGGCTGACAGGCAGGTAGGCCATCCAGTTATTTTAGCCGGGCCGGCTCAGATGATTGGTCGTGCTTTTTACAGTACTACAGCTTCCACAGATGATATTATTTTATGGATTTGTTGTCAAAGCACTTCAGATATTCATTGCTATCGGGATGTTAAGAGCATTCCATGGAATATAACAACAAGTGTATCTCGAGCCGGTTTCTCAAACTTACCTACCCCACCTTTAAGTACAGTAACTAAGTATTTGTACTCCACTACTTCCCACCTCTGAGTACTACCAGTACACATGTCATCAAATGTAATCAGTAATCTGAGTATCACAATATAAAAGTAACCTGATTACTTTCTTTTGGATTACCTCAATATCAAATGCAATGCAAATAAACACAAGAGGAAATAAATAAACATAAGATGTTTGTTTACTGAAGTGTTTATAACAACCTAAACAAGTAAAAAACAAACAAGATATTTAGGATCAAAAAGTTAGAAACAGTCATAGACTACAGATGCTTTTTAAACATAATACATTCATTAAAATCAGACTGTATTGGTGTTTAATAAATCAGGTGTCCACACACTGCATGTATTTAAAATGAAGAATAATTTAATTATAAACCATAGATGAAATGTATCTCTCTGTGTGTGTGTGTGTGTGTGTGTGTGTGTGTGTGTGTGTGTATGTGTGTGTATGTGTGTGTGTGTGTGTGTGTGTGTGTGTGTGTGTGTGTGTGTGTGTGTGTGTGTGTGTGTGTGTGTGTGTGTGTGTGTTGGATTACCTGTAATCTGTTAATCCTGCCATCTCAACTACATGTTAACATTTTAATAAGACGATATTTAAATACTTTAATATATAATATGTTTACAATTGAGATTATAAAAAACATCTCCCTCCTCAAAATATTGCCTTCAAAATTATATATTTGTAAAAAAAATCCATAGACAAACACAGAGGAATACATTTAATAATAATGGAGTTCAATAGAAAATGTAGAATTATGAAGAGAAATCAATAAATGAAATAATACATACATTTAAAAACTGATTTAATTTATTTTATGTTATTGTTTAATTCTCGCTGCAGGACTGACAGATTCTTTTAAAACATTTTAGAGATTCCATGTATTCAGGGCGGCAGCTTTAATGAATATACTAATGAGTCTGAGTGAACTCAGGCTGTGAGGTTCAGGTGAACGCAGACTGTGAGGTTCAGGTGAACTCAGGCTGTGAGGTTCAGGTGAACTCAGACTGTGAGGTTCAGGTGAACTCAGGCTGTGAGGTTCAGGTGAACTCAGGCTGTGAGGTTCAGGTGAACTCAGGCTGTGAGGTTCAGGTGAACTCAGGCTGTGAGGTTCAGGTGAACTCAGGCTGTGAGGTTCAGGTGAACTCAGGCTGTGAGGTTCAGGTGAACTCAGACTGTGAGGTTCAGGTGAACTCAGGCTGTGAGGTTCAGGTGAACTCAGGCTGTGAGGTTCAGGTGAACTCAGACTGTGAGGTTCAGGTGAACTCAGGCTGTGAGGTTCAGGTGAACTCAGGCTGTGAGGTTCAGGTGAACTCAGGCTGTGAGGTTCAGGTGAACTCAGACTGTGAGGTTCAGGTGAACTCAGGCTGTGAGGTTCAGGTGAACTCAGGTTGTGAGGTTCAGGTGAACTCAGGCTGTGAGGTTCAGGTGAACTCAGGCTGTGAGGTTCAGGTGAACGCAGACTGTGAGGTTCAGGTGAACGCAGGCTGTGAGGTTCAGGTGAACGCAGGCTGTGAGGTTCAGGTGAACGCAGGC